GGAGGGGGGTGGAGGAGACGGGGGAGGAACCGGCGGGATGGGGGGGAACTTACCTCCTCCTGCTACTTCCTCCTCTGCCTCATGTGTGGAGGTCCCTCCCCCCCCGCGAGTATCGCGGGTCCCGCCCCTTGTACATTCTATTAAGCAAAATCCTTTTGCAGCCTCAACAAAATAGGAGGAGCTTATATTTGGAAGCTTTAATAGCCTCCCATTCAAAACATTCTAAATCTATCTTTTCTACTAAAGGGAACCAAATACTTAACGGATTGCAAAAAAGTTGTTCATTATGGTTGGAATCCTTATAAACTGAACAAACGTCTAACACAAACAAATCCCAGATTTTGTGAACCCATTGTACTACCGTAGGAATTGCTTTTTCTTTCCAGGATCTGGCTATAAGAATTTTTGCCGCAGTAAGCAACATTCCTATTAATTTTCTCCTTTTTATAGACGGACCATTTTCGGGCCAAAGACCTAAGAGAACAATCATAGGATCTAAAGGTAAGTCGTAGTTGGTTAATTTGCATATACATTGTACTATCTGAGTCCAAAATCCTTGAATTAGTTTACAAGACCACCAGCACAGTGGTATGATAAAGTATGGGACTCAATGGTCCAGAATAAGATAATCTCACAATTAAAACAGGCTGAGAACCCTAATAGGAAAAATGTGTTTATAGAGACATGGTATACTTTTTTGGAGTATATGGACCAAACCACCTGCCAGAGCTCCTCAATACGTAAGAAATACTTAGATTTTGCGGGGTTTTTTTACTTATGGCTTGTTTGATAGATAAAAATGAAAGCTGTCATTATTTGTGGAGGTAATCGATCCTGTATTAATGTAGCATGTATATTGTTTTATCTCTCCCTTATATATAATTGAGTAAGACGCAGCATAAGACTGAGCGGAGACAAAATGCGCTCCGTCAGCCATTTGCCGGCCAGCTGCCGCTCAAGGCTGCTGCCATGCCATTGGCTGGGAGGCAGGAGGCGAACGCTGTGTGCGAACGTCACGGCGGTGGCAGCGATGGACCCCTCGCCGCGGCCTGATTTCCCTCCCCCACCCACCCAGTTGGAGCCCGGCGGTGGCAGCGATTCCTTCCCCCCCCCAACTGACGGCCAACCTTTCTAGGTGCCCGTTGTCTCCGCCCACAATGGGATTTGCTCCCTCGTATGTTAAATAAAAATATATTTAGAAGAAGAAGAAGAACGAACTCTGCAAAGGAGGCAACAGCGGAGAAGCGGGGAAGAGGGCCTGCAATGCCAGGGCCAGCACGGGCACCATAAAGTCATAGAGTCTTAGAGTCATAGAGTCAGAAGCAATGCTCCCTCTAAGCTGTGGAGTCCCGTGAGCAAAAAATTCTGCTTTGTGAGCTACTGGCATTGAAGTTGTGAGCCAGCGACTTGGCTCCTGCATGAGTTAGTTTGCTCTGGAGCCCCTCCTTCCTGAGCTAAGATAAAAATGTGTGAGCCGGAGGCTAAAAAACCGTGAGCTAGCTCACACTAGCTCAGCTTAGAGGGAACAATGCATCTCCAGGGTCATCTAGCCCAACCCCCTTGCACAATGCAGAAAATTCACAAATACCTCCCCCACACACACCCGCAGTGACCACTGTTCTATGCCTAGAAGATGACAAAAAACCTCCAGGATCCCTGGCCAAACCTGGAGAGAATTTGCTTCCTGATCACAAAGTGGCCATCAGCATTTCCCTGGTCCCTCTCCCCCGGCTGCCCAGTCAACGCGGCACGATACCCATTCGGCAGCTGTGCTTCGCTCAGCCTTCAGATACACTACGCGTGTGGGCCAGGCAGAGAAGCCTGTAGCCTTTCCCCAGGATGGGCAGGGATGCAGACGTGGCTGCACACCCCAAGGCAGTGGTACCCAACCTCTCTGGTATGGTGACCCACAAGTCCAAATTCACTTGGTATGGTAGCCCAATGCTTTTTTGGTGCCCTAGGCAATCTATGACCTGGGCGCCCATCTAGTTCAGCATTCCATTTTACCAACCAGATGTTTATTTGTTTATTTATTTATGTATTACTTCCATTTATACCCTGCCCTCCCCGTGAGCAGGCTCAGGTGCTTGGGGGAATGCAACAGTGGGAGGGCTTCTGGAGTTCTGGCCCCACTGGAGGACCTCCTGATGGCCCCTGGTATTTTTGGCCACTGTGTGACAGAGTGTTGGAATGAATGGGCCATTGGTCTGATCCAACATGGCTTCTCTTACGTTCTTATGTCTGGGGCAGTGATGCTCTGTATCCTTGGTGCTTGGGGGAAGGCAACAATGGGAGGGCTTCTGGAGTTCTGGCCCTGCTGGTGGACCTCCTCATGGCACCTGGGCTTTGGCCATTGTGTCATACACAGTGTTGGACTGGATGGGCCATTGGTCTGACTGATCCAACATGGCTTCTCTCATGTTCTTATGTCTGAGGCAGTGATGCTCTGTATTCTAGGTGGCAGGGGGGCAACAGTGGGAGGGCGTCTGGAGTTCTGGCCCTACTGGAGGACCTCCTGATGGCACGTGGGTTTTGGCTACTGTGACACAGAATGTTGGAATGGATGAGCCATTGGTCTGAATGATCCAACATGGCTTCTCTTACGTCTTTATGTCTGGGGCAGTGATGCTCTGTATTCTTGGTACCTGGGGAGCAACACTGGGGGGCTTCTGGAGTTCTGGCCCCACTGGTGGACCTCCTCATGGCCCCTGGGTTTTGGCCACTGTGTGACACAGAGTGTTGGACTGGATGGGCCACCGGCCTGATCCAACATGGCTTCTCTTACATTCTCGTGCTCTTAAGGATCGCAAAACCCGACAGAAGAGTGAGAGGGGTAAGGCATCTTTGAAGCGGGGAGCGGAAAAGGTTACCTGGTCTTCCGAGCAGTTGCTGTTCCTTGAGATGCACTGGTCGGTGCACCAGTGGCACCGGTTGGTGTTTGCCGTGCAGCTGTGGCAGTCTGTGATCTGATCACACTTCTCTTGGTCCGGAACTAATGAAGAAAAAAACAAACCGGCATGACCAAACGCAAGCATTTCCCGAGAGAGCCCTACGAGGTCTTTTTGCCCACAGCAAGCCATTAGGGGCAAGCAACAGGTGCTCTTGTTTTCAAGGAAGGGGGAAACCCTGTGTGAGGCTGCAGGAGGACACTCGTAAGGTCAAAAGCAGACTGAGCTGCCCACCTTGGGGCGGGAGAACGGGGCCCACAGCCTCGGCTGGACAGCAGTGGGGAAGGTGGCCTGCTTCTCCAGAGGCAGCTACCGGTCCTCTTGGGTGGCGAATTTCGTGCGGGGACCACCACACTGATGACTGGTAGCAGCTGGGGCGTGGATACGCTCATTGCCGCAAAGTTCAGGCCCCGAACCACCACCAATCACCTGGGCAAGAGTCTGCACGGACCCTGCCATTGGGGATCATTCACCCAAAGAGTTGCTATAAGTCAGCTGTGAGTACTGTGTACAGTTCTGGTCACCAAACCTCAAAAAAGGATATTGCAGCACTGGGAAAAGTACAAAGAAGGGCAACTAGCATGATAAAAGGGCTGGAACACTTTCCCTGTGAAGAAAAGTTAAAGCACTTGGGGCTCTTTAGATTGGAGAAACGACGGCTGAGGGGTGACATGATCGAGGTTTATAAGATGATGCATGGGATAGAGCAGGCAGAGAAATAGGTACTTTCCCCCCTTTCTCACGATACAAGGACTCAAGTGCGCACTCCATGAAATTGCTTATAAGAGGGAATTGGATAAGCATATGGAGCAGAAGTCCATCCGTGGCTAATAGCCACAAGGTCTAGATAGGAACACTCAGTCCGGGGCAAGTGATGCTCTGTATTCTGGGTGCTTGGGGGGGGGGGTCAACAGTGGGAGGGCTCCTCATGTCCTGGCCCCACTGCTGGACCTCCTGATGGCACCTGGTATTTTTGGCCACTGCGTGACACAGAGTGTTGGACTGGATGGGCCTTTGGCCTGATCCATCATTGGCATCTCTTAAATTCTTATATCTGGGGCAAGTGATGCTCTGTATTCTTGGTGCCGGGGGGGGGGGCAACAGTGGGAGGGCTTCTGGTGTCCTGGCCCCACTGCTGGACCTCCTGATGGCCCCTGGCGTTTTTGGCCACTGTGTGACACAGCGTGTTGGACTGGATGGGCCACTGGCCTGACCCAGCATTGGCTTCTCTTATGTGATTGGAGATAGCTTGGGAACAGTGGTCTTGTGAGTTTAGGGCTCCTACCCCGCGCCCTGCCCTCCACCACCAATCAGGACTTCCTGGCAACGGAGCAGGCCTAGCCCGGCATCTCAGCGACGTCTGCCAGCAATGGAGCAACATCACTTCCTGTGCGTAGCGGAAGCAGCAGCATCCATGTCGCCGTCAATGCGGGACGCTCAGGTATTTGGACAAAAATGTAAGTTTTGGCCCAAATGCCAGACGATCCCCAATTTGCCAGTGACGCAACGATGTCACTTCCAGTGCACACAGGAAGTGAGGTTGCTGGGCTAGGCCTGCCAGCTGCTACAAATACCCCCCATCCTGCGAGTGACGTTACCATCTGAACCAGCCCTGAGACAGGTTGACTGCCTCTGTGAGGACAGGGCCTACGTGTCCACTGCAGTCCTTGTCGTTTTTTAAAGCCAGCCATTTGTTAAACTGAGAAGCTGCAGAGGGCGCTAAAAAGGGGTGTTAAACTCGCCTGTTCGCAATACAGCCTCTCCGTGCTTTCATCTTATTTATTTCTTAAAACATTTATACCCCGCCTCTCCTTTGGGCTCAAGGCGCCTTCTAAGTAGCTATTAAAAATGACAGATTAAAACCAAACTAAAGGCCCCACATATATCCGCCACACACGCCAAAAATGAGATCTTCAGTGGTGTCCTGCACGGCGCACGATGCTCCACATGCTGTCTTGTGCGCTTCTTCCCCGTAGGGGTGCGATGCTTGCACAGCTAATTGATTAGATCAATCTATTAAAAAGCTCCCACTGTGAGTGCAAGTTTATTGGGTAGCGGATTTTAAAAACGCCGTGCTTATTTTTAATAACAAGCACTTACAAAAACCGCAGGTAGCAAGTTCCATCCCGGAGCTTTATTTTAGGCAAAGTGGCAGAAGAAGAAGAGATTGGATTTATACCCCGCCCTTCACTACCTGAAGGAGTCTCAGAGCAGCTTACAAACTCCTCTCCCTTCCCCTACCCACAACAGACACCCTGGGAGGTAGGTGGGGCTGAGAGAGCTCATTTGAGAACTGCCCTTGAGAAAATAGCTCTGAGAGAAATTGTGACTGACCCAAAGTCACTCCAGCAGCCGAATGTGGAGGGATGGGGAATCAAACCCAGTTCTCCTAGATTAGAGTCCATGCACTTAACCACTACACCAAACAGGAGGAGGAGGAAGAGGAGGAAGAGGAAGAAGAGGAGGAGGAGGAGATTGGATTTATACCCCACCCTTCACTACCCAAAGGAGTCTCAGAGCGGCTTACAAACTCCTTCCCCTCCCCACAAAAGGCACCCTGTGAGGTCGGTGGGGCCGAGAGAGCTCTTGACAGAAACTGTTCTTTTTCAAGGACAGCTCTTATCAGAACTATGGCTTGTCCAAGGTCATCCAGCCAGGTGCAAGTGGAGGAGTGGGGAATCAAACCCAGTTCTCCCAGACTGGAGTCTGCACACTTAAGCACTACACCAAACAGAAGAAGGAGGAGGAGGAGACTGGATTTATACCCTACCCTTCACTACCCAAAGGAGTCCCAAAGCGGCCAACAATCCCTTTCCATTCCCCTCCCCACAACAGACACCCTGTGTGGTAGGTGGGGCTGAGAGAGCTCTCCGAAGAACTGCCCTTGAGAGAACAGCTCTGAGAGATCTTGTGACTGACCCAGGGTCACACCAGCAGCTGCATGCAGAGGAGTGGGGGATGAAACCCAGTTCTCCCAGATTGGAGTCCGCACACTTAACCACTACACCAAAACTACATAAACATCTGCAACAAATAAAGGAAGTACTTCAAAGAGATGTCCCTCTTTCTCACTTCCAGGAAGAAAAGGCCTCAATGACCAAAGTCCCCAACCTGATGCCCGTCAATGCCTTTCCTGGTGCCTACCAGGTGTTTTTAGAAAGTGGGTGGGGCCATTTTGTCCTTTGGCCCAGCACAGGCTTTTGATAGGTCACTGGAGATTTGACTGGCTGTGCAGATTTTTAAAAAATGTTGCTTCAGCAGCAGCTGCCACCGCAGCACCAGGAACATCACTGCATGGCTGCCATTGTATAACCGGCTCGACCTCCCGAGGCGGCCATTTTGCGGCGGCCATTTTGTGGTTGCATCCACCGTGCTGTGTCAGAACTCCAAAGGAGCCCAAGGCTTCAAAAAGGCTGGGGGGCCCTGCTATGAGACACTGGAGTGGGATCCAAACCAAATGGGCAGTTTTTATCAGTTGCCCCTTCTTGTCGCCTGGGAAAGGAATTTTGTGGATGTCACCAGGCTGCAAAGAGGCCGGAAAGTTTCATTCTGCTGAGGGGAAATTTAGCATGGACCCAACCCAATATCTGTAAGTATTCTCGCTCCCTTTAGAACCACTTTATTTTTTTACAAAAACCAATTGACTAAAACAATTAATATCAATATGATCAGTTAAAGATTACTTTCGTAAGGTGGCAGCCATGGTGTACCTGAAAGCATCTCCCTAAATTGAAGAGGCCCTTTCGATAAAATACATTTTGCCTTCATTTTCGTGTAGTGGTTAAGTGCGCGGACTGTAATCTGGGAGAACCGGGTTTGACTCCCCACTCCTCCACTCGCAGCTGCTGGATGACCTTGGGCAAGCCATAGTTTTCTCAGAGCTGTTCTCTCAAGGGCAGTTCTTGAAAGAGCTCTCTCAGGCCCACCTACCTCACAGGGTGTCTGTTGTGGGGAAGGGAAGGGAAAGGAGATTGTAAGCCGCCCTGACACTCCTTCGGGTAATGAAGGGTGAGGTATAAATCCAATCTCCTCCTCCTCCTCCTCCTCTTCTTCGTCTTCTTTGGTGTCGTGGTTCAGTGTGCAGACTCTAATCTAGGAGAACCGGGATTGATTCCCCACTCCTCCACTTGCACCTGGCTGGATGACCTTGGACAAGCCATAATTTTCTCAGAGCTGTTCTCTCAAGGATAGTTCTTGGGAGAGGTCTCTCAGGCCCACCTGTTGTGGGGAAGGGAAGGGAAAGGAGATTGTAAGATGCCCTGAGACTCCTTCGGGTAGTGAAGGTTGAGGTATAAATCCAATCTCTTCTTCTTCTTCTTATCTTCTTTGGTGTCGTGGTTAAGTGCATGGGCTGGGAGAACTGGGTTTGATTCCCCACTCCTCCACTTGCACCTGCTGGATGACCTTGGGCAAGCCGTAGTTCTGATAAGAGCTGTTCTTGAAAAAGAGCAGTTTCTGTCAGAGCTCTCTCAACCCCACCGACCTCCCAGGGTGTCTGTTGTGGGGAGGAGAAGGGAAAGGAGTTTGTGAGCCGCTCTGAGACACCTTTGGGTAGTGAAGGGCGGGGTATAAATCCAATCTCTTCTTCTTCTACTTCACAGGGTGTCTGTTGTGGGGAAGGGAAGTGAAAGGAGTCTGTAAGCTGCTCTGAGACTCCTTTGGGTAGTGAAGGGTGGGGTATAAATCCAATCTCTTCTTCTTCTTCTTCTACCTCACTGGGTTTCTGTTGAGGGGAGGGGAAGGGGAAGGGGTCTGTAAGCCGCTCTGAGACTCCCTTGGGTAGTGAAGGGCAGGGGTATAAATCCAATCTCTTCTCTTCTTTTTCGTTAAGAAAGGTACACTACGCTTCCATGACAGACAGTGCTCCTTTTTACATTGCCCTGTCCAACTCCAGAGCATTCCTTTTTTAACACAGTTTGAATCTGGTGGCACCTTTAAGACCAACAAAGTTTTACTCTGGGTATACGCTTCCATGAGGGCGCTCACTTCTTCAGATATCCTCAGGCAGACAGGACGGCACTGTCCCCCACTGAGGTCCCGCCCCTCCCTACACCTCACCCTTCCCAGGCTCCACCCCCAATTATCCAGGACAATCCCGGCCCAGAGTTGGGAACCCTAAACACAGGTCCGTAGCCACAGTGGGGCATTTGGGGGATCCGCCCCCTTTTTTGTGTAGAGGTTAAGTGTGTAGACTCTAATTTCGAGTAGGAGCCGCCGCCACTACAATTCCACCACCGATATGTATGCGGCATCGGACCACTACCACTAATATGTGGTTCCATCTGGGTGCGAGGTGACCCTGGAAGGACAGGGGATGACAGGTTGCGGGACCAATTGCCATTGGATTAAGATCTACCCCATCTTGCGATAAATGGAGCACTGACACTTTGTTGTTGTATTATATTGATTTACTGTTTTAGTCTGTTTTATCTGTTTTAACTCTGGCACTTGTGCCTCGTTGTTACCCGCCCTGAGCCTTCGGGGAGGGCGGGATATAAATCCAAAAATAAATAAATAAATAAATAAATAAATAAATAAATAAATAATCTGGGACGACTGGGAGTGGTTAAGTGTTGAGCCGCTCTGAGACACCTTCGGGTAGTGAAGGGCAGGGTATAAATCCAATCTCTTCTTCTTCTTCTTTTACCTCACAGGGTGTCTGTTGTGGGGAGGGGAAGGGAAAGGAGTTTGTGAGCCGCTCTGAGACACCTTCGGGTAGTGAAGGGCAGGGTATAAATCCAATCTCTTCTTCTTCTTCTTTTACCTCACAGGGTGTCTGTTGTGGGGAGGGGAAGGGAAAGGAGTTTGTGAGCCGCTCTGAGACACCTTCGGGTAGTGAAGGGCAGGGTATAAATCCAATCTCTTCTTCTTCTTCTTTTACCTCACAGGGTGTCTGTTGTGGGGAGGGGAAGGGAAAGGAGTTTGTGAGCCGCTCTGAGACACCTTCGGGTAGTGAAGGGCAGGGTATAAATCCAATCTCTTCTTCTTCTTCTTTTACCTCACAGGGTGTCTGTTGTGGGGAGGGGAAGGGAAAGGAGTTTGTGAGCCGCTCTGAGACTCCTTTGAGTAATGATGGGTGGGGTATAAATCCAATCTCCTCTTCTTCTTCTTTTACCTCACAGGGTGTCTGTTGTGGGGAGGGGAAAGGAAAGGGGTTTGTAAGCCGCTCTGAGATTCTTTCAGGTAGTGAAGGGCGGGGGATAAATCCAATCCTTCTTTTTCTTCTTCTCAAATGTGAGGCATGCCCCACAACAGCTGCTGCCCCCTCCCAACTCCTGTGACATTAGAAGGGCCCTCCAGCTGATCGGCGGACGTGAGGGAGAGGGGTGTCTGCCAATGCTTCCTCTAAGCTATGGAGTCTCATGAGCAAAAATTCCGCTTTGCGAGCGACTGGCATGAAAGGTTGTGAGCGAACCATTTGGCTGCTGCATAAATTTGTTTCCTCTGGAGCCCTCCTTCCTGAGCTAAGGCAAAAGTCTGTGAGCCCGAGGCTAAAAAAACTGTGCGCAAGCTCACACTAACTCAGCTTAGAGGGAACACTGGTCCAGCCTACCAGCGAATTCGCTGCTTGGAGTTCGAGCGCAGGCAGCTCCCGCTCGGAAGACAGCATTTAAATTGCCGCCCGCCCCCTCTCCCTCCCCTCTCTTCCCGCCCTCCTCCCCCTCCCCAAAATTTCCCCACGTCCCACCACGCCAAAATTTCTGGCTACGGAGCTGCCTAAATAGCAGGCAATCAATGGACCACATCTGTCCAGCATACCGAAGCCTTCCAAGACCTCAATCCCAGGAAACGATCTTGCTTAAGCCAGTGTGACATCCCCGAGAGCGTGAAACAGAAGGGTGGAAGACAGCTTTATAGGCTCTCCAGGGCCAAATGACGGTAGATGAAAGAGGAAACTTTAGAATTCAGGGACAAACCAAATAATCTCTCATCTTCTGCGCCAGAGAGCACCTCCTCAGAATTTGCATGCATGCGTAACAGCAGAGCTCAAGTACACTCCAGCATATACTTGGTCAGTCAAACACTCCTTCTGCTGTAGGCTTTCTATCACAGGCAATAGGTGACATGGAAGACATCTGCCTGAGACCCTGGAGAGCTGTAAAGAGGGGCTGTGGCTCAGTGGTAGAGCATCTGCTTGGCATGCAGAAGGTCCCAGGTTCAATCCCCGGCAGCATCTCCAGTTAAAAAGGACCAGGCAGGAGGTGATTTGGAAGACCTCCGCCTGAGACCCTGGAGAGCTGTAAAGAGGGGCTGTGGCTCAGTGGTAGAGCATCTGCTTGGCATGCAGAAGGTCCCAGGTTCAGTCCCCGGCATCTCCAGTTGAAAGGACCAGGAAGTAGGTGATGGGAAAGACCTCAGCCTGAGACCCTGGAGAGCTGTAAAGAGGGGGTTGTGGCTCAGTGGTAGAGCATCTGCTTGGCACACAGAAGGTCCCAGGTTCAGTCCCTGGCATCTCCTGTTAAAAGGACCAGGCAGGAGGTGACGTGGAAGACCTCCACCTGAGACCCTGGAGAGCTGTAAAGAGGGGCTGTGGTTCAGTGCTAGAGCCTCTGCTTGGCATGCAGAAGGTCCCAGGTTCAATCCCCGGCATCTCCAGTTAAAAGGACCGGGCAGGAGGTGAAGGGAAAGATCTCCGCCTGAGACCCTGGAGAGCTGTAAAGAGGGGCTGTGGTTCAGTGCTAGAGCCTCTGCTTGGCATGCAGAAGGTCCCAGGTTCAATCCCCGGCATTTCTGTTTTAAAAGGACCAGGCAACTGGTCATGGGAAGGACCTCCGCCTCAGACCCTGGAGAGCTGCTGTCAGTCAGGGAAGATAATAGTGATTACGACAGACCTACAGCCTGAGTAAGTATAAGGGAACCTCATAGGCTCAGCAGAGAATCGTAGAATGTGAGAGTTGGAAGGGACCTTACAGGTCATCTAGTCCAACCCCCTGCACTCTGCAGGAGCACAGCTGAAAGACAGCCCTACCACATACCCGAGAGATGGTTGTCCAGCCTCCGTTTGAAAATGTCCAGCGAAGGAGCATCCACCACCTCCCGAAGCAGTCTGTTCCACTGCTCAACCACTCTTACAGTCAGGAAGTTTCTCCTGATAACTTAGCCGGTATCGACTCCCTTGTCATTTCCACCCATTAGATCTAGCCTTGCAATCCGGAGCAAGAGAGAATAGTTCTGCTCCATCTTATTTATTTATTTATTTATTTATTTGATTTTTATCCCGCCCTCCCGCCGAAGCGGCTCAGGGCGGCGTACAGCAACATACAATAAAACAACTCATCTAAAACAATCAATACAACATCTTCTACATGACGGCCCTTCGGATACTTGAAGACTGCAATCGTGTCCCCTCTAAGCCTTCTCTTTCCCAGGCTACGTGGCACCTACCTGACGAGGAGGGGCATTCCTCGATTATCTTTTGCTGTTGGTACTTCGTGGCCATTCCCCACGGGAGACACTGTTGGACAGAGCCGTTCCACACGCACCGGATCCCAGGGCCTGCCTGCAAGCAGACGGTTTCGTTGCTGTACGCCTCACAGCTCTCCGGCGTGTACTTCACGACGTCGCTCAACAGCAGGCTATTGAAGCCCCCGAATATGTACATGACGCTAACCGAAAGGAAGAAAAGAAGAATGAGTAGATCTGTGGGTTATTGGTTACTTAAGATACGCAGCACGCGGATAAAGATGGCCTAGGTTAGCCCGATCTCGTCAGATCACAGAAGCTGAGAAGGGCCGGTCCTGGTTGGTACCAATGTTCCCTCTAAGCTGAGTGAGTGTGAGCCAGCTCACAGTTTTTTAGCCTCTGGCTCACACCTTTTTGTCTTAGCTCAGGAGCAAACTAATTTATGCAGAAGCCAAATCGCTCGCTCACAACTTTCATGCCCAGTAGCTCACAAAGTATTTATTTATTTATTTATTTTATTAGATTTGTATCCCGCCCTCCCCAAATGGGCTCAGGGCGGCTACCAACAGAGGCAAATGCCATAACAAACAATTAAAACAGCATAAAAACAATCAATAAATAAGAACATAAGAGATGCCAATGTTGGATCAGGCCCATCCAGTCCAACACTCTTATCACACAGTGGCCAAAAACAGACCCCCCCCCCCCAAGCACCAAGATGACAGAGCATCACTTGCCCCAGAGTCCCTATCTATACCTTGTGGCTAATAGCCACTGATGGACCTCTGCTCCATATGCTTATCTAATTCCCTTTTGAAGCCGTCCATGCTTGTAGCTGCCACCACTTCCTGTGGCAGTGAGTTCCATGTGTTAATCACTCTTTGGGTGAAGAAGTACTTCCTTTTATCCGTTCTAACCCGACCGCTCAGCAATTTCATGGAGTGCCCACGGGTTCTTGTATTGTGAGAAAGGGAGAAAAGTACCTCTTTCTCTACCTGCTCTTTCCCATGCATAATCTTATAAACCTCGATCATGTCACCCCTCAGTCGTCGTTTCTCCAAGCTAAAGAGCCCTAAGCGCCTCAACCTTTCCTCATAGGGAAAGTGTTCCAACCCTTTTATCATTCGAGTTGCCCTTTTCTGCACTTTTCCCAAAGCTGGAATAAAGTGCGGTGCTCTAGATGTTAAACTCATCACTCCAAGATGGGTTCCATCTATCAACCTAGCCTGACAACGTAAGTTCTTTGGTCATCCAGGCGTCTTCCCAGGGCCGGTTCACTTATAGATCTAATCCACCGTCGAAGATGGCAACTCGGTGGTGGCACAATGACGGCGTAGAAAAAAGTAGGATTTTTGCTCACAAGACTCCACAGCTTAGAGGGAACATTGGTTAGTACGTGACTGGGAGACCGTCAAGGGAGTCCTTCTTCACCTAAAAGGTAAGGAACACATGTAATTCACTGCTGAAGGAAGTGGTGGTGGCTACAAGCATGGACAGCCTCAAGAGGGGACTGGAGAAACATATAGAGCAGAGGTGCATCAGTGGCTATGAGCCACAAGGTGGTGGCTCAAGTGGTTAAGACGCTGAACTGCAGGCTGTGGAAGGTCAGTAGTTCAGCAGTTCGAGACCCAAGTGTGCCGCATGACGGAGTGAGCTCCCGTCTCTAGTTCCAGCTCCCGCCAACCTAGCAGTTCGAAAGCAAGAAATTGCAAGCAGATAAATAGGTACCACTTTGGTGGGAAGGCAACAGCGTTCCATGCGCCTTGGTGTTTAGTCACGCCGGCCACATGACCACAGAAACGTCTTCGGACAGCGCTGGCTCTTCGGCTTTGAAACGGAGATGAGCACCGCGACCCTAGAGTCGGACTCGACTGGCTTTCGAGCAAGGGAACCTTTACCTTTACCTTTTTATAGAATAGATGGAACACTCTGTCTGGGGCAAGGGATGCTCTGTATTCCAGGAGCTTGGGGGGGGGGGCACCGCAGTGGGAGGGCTTCTGGAGTTCTGGCCGCGCTGGTGGACCTCCTGATGGCACCTGGTCTTTTGGGCCACTGTGTGACACAGAGTGTTGGACTGGATGGGCCATTGGCCTCATCCGACACGGCTTGTCTTACATTCTTAATCCCAGGGTCACTATGCAGAGGCAGGCAATGGTAAACCACCTCTGCATGTCTCTCGCCTCCAAGGCTACCCCGCTTTTGTCAGATCTCAGAAGCTAAGCAGGGTTGGCCCCGGTTAGTACTTGGATGGGAGACTGCCAAGGAAGTCCAGGGCTGCCACGCAGAGGCAGGCAATGGCAGACCACCTCTCTGAACATCTCTTGTCACCGTAAGTCAGCTGCAACTTTAACAGTACTGTCCACCACCGAGGCTACTTGCCGCTGACTCATCTATTGCTCTCCGAATATAACTTCTGAAAGACAGCCCCCGAAGAAGAAGAGGAGGAGGAGGAGGAGGAGGAGGAGGAGG